TCAAAATAGAAAACCGTTTGACCCAGGAATTCCACTCCTAGGAATTTACCCTAAGAATGCAGGAGCCCAGTTTGAAAAAGAAATATGTACCCCTATGTTTATTGCAGCACTATTTACAATAACCAAGAAATGGAAGCAACCTAAGTGTCCATCAGCAGATGAATGGATAAAGATGTGGTACATATACACAATGGAATATTATTCAGCCATACGAAGAAAACAAATCCTAGCATTTGCAACAACATGTATGGAACTAGAAGGTATTATGCTCAGTGAAATAAGCCAGATGGAGATAGACATGTATTAAATGATTTCACTCATCTGTGGAGGAGAACCAAGAAGAAACTGAAGGAGCAAAACAGCAGCAGACTCACAGAACCCAAGAATGGACTAACAGTTACCAAAGGCAAAGGGACTGGGGAGGATGGGTGTGAAGGGAGGGATCAGTGGGAAAAAAGGGCATTACAATTAGCACACATAATGTAGTGGGGGGCACGGGGAAGGCAGTACAATACAGAGAAGACAAGTAGTTATTCTATAGCATCCTACTACTACGATGGATAGTGACTGTAATGGGGTTTGTGGTGTGGACTTGATCATGGGGGAGAGTCTAGTAAGCATAATGTTGCTCATGTAATTGTATATTAATGATACCAGAAAAAAAAAGTTAAACAAGTCCTGGGAATGTAATGGACATCATGGTCACTAGAGTTACCAATACTTGTGGTATATTTGAAAGTAGCTAAGAGAGTATGTCTTAAAAGTTCTCTTTATGTGAATAATATTTGTAACTGTGTGGTGATAGATGTCAAGTAGACTTAGTGTGGTGGTCATTTCACTATATATACAAATTTAAGATGATTATTTCTACACCTGTGACTAATATAATGTTATATGTCAATTATATCTGAATAAAACTGGCAAAAAAAAGTCATCTGCATTTATGAGGATGGCTTTAATATTCAATCCTCTAACGTTTAAGTGTTTTGTATATAGTGTTGAGGATTTCAGGTGTCTAGGAGGATGTTTCTAGAAGGGTGTTTCCATTATTCCTTTTTTTTTTATCTACTTTCTGTTCATGATGTACAACAAAATTGATTTTTCAGACCATTTGCTTATGCGTTAGTAGTGCATTATATCATTCTAATTTTCTAGGATGTTCTTGTATAAATTTTATTCATCAAGGGTGTTTGGTAGAGGTGGGTGATAAGTTCTTCAAACCTTCCTTTCTAGTCAGTTAATGGTCTACTGACATTGAAAGGATCTAGTGACAGTGAACCTCAATGAATCCCCAAGTATCTGTAAAAGAATATAATAAAAGTTTTACAGTTCCTTCTTGAAGCAATTCTATTTGAGAGAGTTTTCCAGTAATAGGTGTATCAAGTACTATCTGTTGAGCTTCTGAATGAGATCTGTTTGAAAAGGGTCTACTACTAAAATAAACGAACTGCTGCAGAACCTGTTTATTCTGAGTCTCTTAAATAGCTTAAGAATTTTACTTGTAATATATAGAAATTTAGCATTTCTCATTTGTTTTTATAGCAGGAGTATAGAATTCCACTGGGTTTTTTCTTTCTTCACATCTTAACAGCAATGTTGGTATCAAATAGCAAAGCTATCAAAGTTTTTTTTTTCTTCTAGGTGTGGTTGTAAACATATTCAGTTGCAAAAAAATTCATTTTTACATTTTATACTAAGAATATCTATTGAAAAAGCTACTTTCCAGAGTTTTATAGTGTCATGTCACCTTTATTGCCATCTAAGCTTACATATCCTCATATGTCTCATAAGTGATAGATATACTATTATCCCTTACTCCTTATAGTATGAAATTGTGGGTCAAAGAGTCTCCTGACCACTGGTTAGAAATGCCCTAAACAAAACTATGCTTATTTCTTTAGAGTTTCAATAAAAGCAGTTTAGATACTTGCACGAAGTTATAAAGTAATACATATATTGTATATACATACACATACATTCAAATGGCAGTAGTTTAAAATGAAAATGGTTAAATCTGTTGGAGATGAGGATAGAAATAAGATGGCATAGTTACACAGTGTTAGGAATGAGAAAGACTTTGATCTATGCCTCATTCTGCCACTTAATAACTGTATGACCTTAGGCAGGTTACATTACGTCTTTAAACATAAGCCTCCTCCTGAAGAAAGAGTACAGAGTTAGAATAGTATCAACCTCATAGTGTCATGAGGATTAATTAGGTGCATGTAAGGCACTTAGGTGCACCTCTGTGTAAGTAACTGAAGAATCTTTGAATAGCTTCTAGGATTGTTGGAATCCTATAAAACAGGGCTTGGCAAACTTTGTATGTAAACGACCAGACAGTAAATATTTTAGGCTTTGCCATCCTGTCACATACTCTGTTTGGGTTTTTTTTCCCTTCTGTTTCTTACAGCTATTAAAAAATGTAAAAACCACTCTGAACTCACAGGCTCAGTTTGGCCCCTAGGCTCTAGTTTGCCAGTTTCTTCCATAAAGTATTACCTTCCAATAATACAGTAGCACTAGACTCAAAACATACTAAGTTCTACCTCTTAAACTTTTAGCCTTATTTTAACAACATTTATTGCACATTAGATTGTGTGATTTTGTTACCAACTTTATATTTTTATATAGCTGGGGTTTTTTTTCTACTACCCATCTCTCAACCAACTGCCGGAGTCCAGCTCCAGTGAGTCCAGGGATCCCTGAAGGGTGGATGAATGGCGTCGGCGAGTGAGGACACAGACGTTAGCAAAGATGCTAAGCTGGCCTGTTCATTGATAGAAACCTCAAGCATTATATAGGGGATTTGTTATATAAAGTCATCATAAAATCATCATAAAGCATGCATCATTAGGTGCTTTATGGCATAATCTTCTTGGAAAGTTTCTCTGCTTTCCCAACCATGAAAGGTCATCATGGTCTTTTCGTCAAGATTTTTCTGCTATAACTTTTAGATTCTAATCTCAGGTTAAATTTCTTCAAGGCACCACAATGTCTTCTAAATGTGTCTTAAAACTTGCTTAACTTAGGAAAGGTCATCTTAAAATTGGTCTCTTACCTAGACTCGCTGTGGGGTCATGTTTTTTCCATAATTCCCTGGAACTATTTACAGTAGAATGAGCAGCTCTCATTCTGTTGATCTGGACTATGACAATGCTTACCGCCATCTTTATAGTAATGGTTCATAAGGAAACTCCCACCTAGACTTTAGGCCTCTTCAAACAAGGCTTCCATCTGCTCTTCTGACCCATACCCCGTGATGGTCATCTTTTATTTCTCCTGGGGGCCGAGTTGGCCTGGGAGCTGTACCCTAAATTCATCTAAACTTTCTTTTATTTCCTAACCCAGGGATAATAACCCACTGGCCTCGGGGGAATGTGTAGGGTTTTATTTTCTCTTTAAATGAGGGAACTATCTTTAACACAAGCTGGGTTTTTATGATTGCTCTATGGTTCTTAACAGTCCTTTTCCTGGGGGCATTTTCTGATTCACGAGGGCTGCTCAGACTGGGGGAATGGTCCAATTAAGCAATAGAAGAGAGATCAGTAACTTCCCCCTTGGAGGCCTGCTGTGCAGTATCCATCCATCGGCCTCCTGGGCTGTGCCATCAGGCAGGCCGAGTAGGTTGGCTCCCAGCAACCAACCTTATCCTAAAGTGAAATAGTTGAATTCATTTGCTTAGGTCTTTTGTCAGTTGTTCTCAGAAAAATCTATGTAGAAGCTAAATAGCTTCAATTTCAATATGAAATGCACTAGGAATTTTTGAAAGAGAAGCCAGTCATAATTCTCTTATTAATGTATATATATGGTCATTTCCATGTGAAGGGCTTGATCACTTACACCTGTTATTCTGTTATTTCCTTAATGATATTTTCTCAAATCTGTGGATTTATCTTAACTAGTTTGGAACTAAGACAGGTCCATGGAGTTATTGGAGCTTCATAATTTTCAACTAATTAGTTTTCTAATACACTAGAAGTACTTAGAACAGTAACATGATTGCTATTATCCTTCCTAATGGAATGTGGTAATATTGATAGCACTCTTAGGGACCAAGAAGATTCATATCCTTTACTGTGTACTAATAAAAAATTAGTTTTTTCTAAGTGGTCACAACTCTCAAACTCCATGTTACCTTAATATCCTTGCTAGGAAAAAATTTTAAGATAAATTATCATTACTAAACAGTTCTTTTTCTCTTC